ACTTCCCTAATAATGCGCCATGTGTTTTGCGAACCATTACTTTTTATTATTTGATCTAAATAGTAAATAGCTTTTGAACGTCTCAAAGTTGACTCAAATAAACGTTTATAATTTTTATAGTTAGTTTTATTTTATAGTGTTTTTTTTTTTAAAATATTTACAATATAATCTCTGTTTTATTTTTGAAGATTTAATAATCCCCTTTGTTATCCAAGCGCTCATAAGGGTTTTTTCTTTTAATAATTTTGTAACTATGGGAAATGCTTTGTTATAATATTGAGGAAACTTATTTAAGCCTCATCAGCATTTAAATTTATTAGAGTTTCGTCCCATTTTTTGAATGACATAACATGAAAAGATTTAATGGAGGTATCGTTAATTAGTCGTTTTGTTACTTTCCTTTTTTGAGAATAAGACTTATCGCATTTATTTGATATAATAAAAATTGGAAAATGGTCCGAAATATCCGTTTTAAATATTCCAGTTTTTATTTTTGTTGTGAGAAATTCATTTGTAAAAATTTGATCTATTGATGTTGATGTTGCTAAAGTCAATAAATAAAACAAATAGTAAACAAACTAAAAAAAAGTTAAGGCATCAACACAAACATATACAAACGTTTAAAAAGTAATAAAAATTAATCTCATTAAAATTCTTATTTAAATATAAAAGCTGACACAACGATCAGCTTGCCTCGTGAATTTTTAAGGAAACTATTAGCGAGTATGTAGAGTATATTTTACATAATACAGAACCGTAAATAATATCGAACAAAAGTAACTAACGGCACTATTCAGCACATCTGGATTATTATATTTAAGAAGAAGAAGATTAACGTTTGTATTAAATATCAAATTTAACAACAATTATATTTGCCGATGACATAAATCATTTTTTGGCGAGACATGACTTATCAACATTATTTAACTAAATGAATAGAAAATTCATTAAAGTTTATAACCGGTTAAAGTCAAACAAACTATCAATTAATATCGAAAAAACTATATGAAACTATAATAAAATAAAATAAAAAATCTTTCTTTGAATATGCCTACTCTGTTTATTCATAATAATGAAATAAAGGGTGTTTAAGTTAACAAAATCTTCGGTGTTTACATGATGATGAAAACCTCACGTTAAAAAATCACTTTAACAATTTTAAACAACAAAAATTGCTGAAGTTTAGGAATGCAAGAAATCTTTTAATTACAAATAGTTTACTTCAATCTATTAACCATTTATTTATTACCATATTAATTATGCTAATACTGCATGGGGTAGAGTGTATAAAAGTAAACTAAAAAGTCAATATCGTCAACAGAAGCATAATGCACTTCTTATGAACTTTAGGAACAGTCTTACTCGTGTCAAGCCTCTTTTAATTAAAATGAATATTCCTTTTTTATTTTATATATAAAATATTTTATATTATATGAGCTTAATGTTTATAATGCACTTTGCTTTATATATAAATGTAAAACGAACACGTCCCTTTTTCCTTTTTATAATTTATACTCTCATAAAGAAAAAAACTATTACTGTCATCAAAATGAAAATTTTATCAATCTTTTTCGCAAATAACTTTCAGCAGATCTTGTATTTCTTATCAAGGGGGTTTTTTACGTAACAAAATAGTTTTATATACAATATTTTAATTTTTCTTAAGAGAAGAATTACAACACATTTGAAAAAGAAAACTTAAACAGGGTTTCAACAATTAAAGTCAAGGAATAAAGTTAGGTTAGGGGTTTTGAGTTTAGTACATATATTGACTGATTTAGAGAAAATATGTGAAGGTTTGGGCAAGGACATCGTTAGGATGTGAGTTCAAAGAAATTTTCTGCACTTTTACCCGCATTTTATACGTTAAAAATTTCGGTAATCCGCATTGTGCAGCTGTGGTGCAGTGGTTAGAGTTCTGGGTAAGAACTATAGGACCTTGGTTTGACGCCGGCTTTTCCTAATTAGCAACATTGGTAAGGTAGGAGGCGCAAACCACCTTGTGGTTCGCGACTCCTTCCTTACTTATTTTTGATTAAGTAATAAACATCTGAAGAGATGTTTATAACTTAATCACTACACAAATTATGTTTACTCATTAGCATTAATGTTTTTTTTCCATTCTGAGGCCTTCCATTGTTGTTAGCATACTTTTTATTTTGTGATCGGTTTTTTGTTTTATAAGTTTTTTGTGTGGTGATGTATAAGTTGTGTATCTTCTTTCATATAAAATATGAAAGAACATTTTATATGGTTAAAAGAACTTTCATATGGTTAAAAAACAAATTTTTTTTATTGTTATTTTTTTTTTTTTTTTTTTTTTACATTATTCACCTCCCCAAGGCCCGAGGGGGCCACTACAGTCGAGGAGGCTACTCATTTTTTTGTGTTTTTTATTTTTTTTTTGTTGTATTTCGTGGTACAACTCTCTCTCAACTCTTTAACTCCGAAACACAAACCTTGACAAGCAAGGCCGCTGCGCGGAGAAACTAAGTTGAGCGCGGTACTTCCAGGGACGTGGTGGGAGTCGAACTTATATATTTATATTGTTGTTGAGTACTGTTTTGTGTGTATAGTCTGTTTTATTTATTTTTAAATATTCCTCTATTAATCTTTTCTTTTTTCTTGACAACTGTCAAAATATGCTTTGTTCAATAAATAATTCTCCTTTATTCTAATGTACTTTATTTCTTCCCTCAGGCATTCACTGCTCGTGTGTGACCATTCGGCCAATTTTATATGCCAAAGTTTTTAAATACACTTACAATTTTAACATTTATTTATTTTTTCAGACAATTAAAGATAAATAGTTAGGTAAAAATAAAGTCTAGGAATTTGACATGTTTTTGGCTTATATGGAAACTTAATGTTAAAATTTTTCTAAAGCTTCAGAGTTTAAAAAAATACACTGTGGCAAACCTTGCATTAGTTAAATATAAAAATCGTTTATTTGTTGTTACTGTTTTTGCTCTTTGTAGTTTACGCGATGCAAAAATGAAATAAAACACTTGACTTTCGAAAAAATACTTGATGCTAAAAATAATTCGTGACATCACAATAATTTGAGGCAAAATTCTATTCGTAACAGTTGGCTGTAGTGTTTTTCCTAGATTACTTTAGCAGTTGAAATGATATAGTAAAAACATAATCCATAGTATTTAAACAAGAAGCTTTGCTGTCAATGACAAATCGCGAGGTTAGAATTATTTTGTTCTATCTCCATGTTTTTCCGAATTGAGAAAACTAAATTCAAAGTTTTAAATGAACCTGCAGACCAAATAACATAAAAAACGCAAACAAAACCAATTTTTATCAATTTCCCATATAGGCTACCACAGTTTAAAAAAATTTGTTTTAAAATATTTAAATTGCAGGTGTCTTATTTACTACACCTTGATTTAGAGATAGAACAATGTAATACACACTTTTTTTGTAAAATACAGTATTATTTTGTGCTATCTCCATTTTGTGTAAAAAAACATATTACAAATTAATATATTGTTGCAAGATGAATTTATATTTTGGGAATAAAAGTACTCTAAGGTACATATTTTCTTTATTTGAAAAAAAAATTTATTTTACACAAGTGAACAAACTACATTAATACGTTATTTTGTCAAAACAGAGAAGATAAATAATATATTATCTTAAGATCTTTACAATAAAATAAAACTTAAGTTATAAATTCCAATAATATAACATCTAAAGTACATTGCACAGTAAAATGATATCTCAAATTAGGCAAATCAAGCATATCTGGTTAATCCATTAAAAATATAACATTTCAAAAAGAAGTCCATTTAACAACATAACATATAATACAAATATTTAGACAATAAAATAAATTATTTTAAAATACTTTTATAAAATGCAACGCCTACAGCAGACATATACTTGAACATACTTTTAAGGTCCTTGGCTTTATCACTTGAAATTTGAGCACACTGATTCAAGGCAGAAGCCATTGGTACAACTGCCAGAGGTCTTGTTATCACAGATGATAAAGAGCGCGGATTGTTAGGAAGACGCCTAATTCGTGCTTCTGAACAAACATCTGAAAACGACTTTCTGTAATATACATGATCTGAAAACTCTGCTCTGTAAACCAGATGCTTTATCTGGCTATAGGGAACAAGCTTAAAATTGAAATAGCTTGCAATAGCTGAAAAATGTTTGAAATCCAATCTTTTCATTTGGTAGACAAAAAAAGAATTTCTTCTTTGAACAGCAGAAATTGCTCTGGTTAAACCTAAAGGACTAAATATTTCAAGAAGAGCAAGTGCTCTGTCAATTTGACTGTGGATATTGTCAACCTCTTGTATACTAGAATGTCCTGGTTCACAAAACTTTTGCTCAATTACTCTAATTTTTGAGTAACATATCAAAAACTGACGCAAGGCAAGGGACATGCGACTATTTCTGTTTTGAGGCACACAGTATTTCGAACCATAGTATGAGTTTATTAACATCAGAGTGGTCTGCAATTATCTTTTGTAGCAAGCATGCTACACTACTTGCAAGGTCATTGCCTGCACGACCCGAAACACCTTCATGCCAAAGCATACAATAACCTTTTTTATTTATGGAGCAATGCCCAGTTAAATTATAAGCTGAAAGTTTTCGTTTGTAAAAAAATGCTCCCAAATTTGATTTTGGTAAACTTATTACATTTTCAAGGTCAATACATACTACAGCCACATTTTTATCTATAATTTTGCGTTCTTTATCTTGTTCTGCTTTAGTTTCATTCTTAGAAATAATGTGTTTGGTAAACTTTTGGGTTTGTTCCTCAGTTGGATTTACTAGATTGCGGTATTCATAGTATGTATCACATAAATCAGTTTTTGGCTTCTGAAATTCAATGTTAAAGTAATGATTAAATATGAATCTATACAAATGCTTCTTAACAGGGGCAATATTCTTTTCTTCACAATAGGTTAAGTAAAGTTCATACATCTTATTAAAATTTAAAAAAGCTTCAAAATATTCTTTTTCTGTTCTTTGACGACAGTAGTGTGATGAAACACGTGGAAATGCATTGATATGATCTGTAATGCTTTGTTTTGATGATTGATCTATAACCTTTTTGGTGTGTTTACCTCATTTTGAAAGGGCTGGGCTTCCAGTAGTATCATTTTTTTTTTCATGATAATAATAAACTCTTCTACTACTTATATTTAAAGTTGTGAGGTAAAATTCTTTACAAACTCGAGTTTGCCAATCACCAACAAAAAAGCTATAATAAAATGAATACGCTTTTCGCGAATTTTCATTGATGGTTCGATGACGTTTCTTCTGAAGTCGTTCAGTGGTTCGACTGTAGAAATGTCTCTTTTGCATGTCGTCCATAGACCAAAAATCAGCAAATATACGTGTTCTTTCTTCATCACTAATATTTTGTGCGCATCTGAATTTACAAGAATTTAGACAGTCTTTCTTTTTGGTTACAGACATGCATGGAACATTTTCTCCCTTTCTATTTTTATACGGCTGACCAGGTTGTCTTAGCTGCTTTCTCATATTCTGTGACCAAGTTTTAGGTGCTGACTTTCGTTTCCTAGTTTTTCCCCCATGTGGGGGCAGACGACGAGCTGTTGTTATTTCAGGTGTATCATTATGATAGCCAAGAACAGTCAGATCAGTTTCTGAAACAAAAACAAAAAAAGTATACATATATGTATACTTTTTTTGTTTTTGTTGCTGTTTTTATTACAATATTTAATACAATATTTACAATATATATATATATATATATATATATATATATATATATATATATATATATATATATATATATATATATATATATTCATATATATATATATATATATATATATATATATATATATATATTTATATACATATACATGCATATATAATGTGAACAATAACATATTTTACCTTCAAAGTTTTGTTGTTGTTTTTCTGTAATAAAAACTTCCGCAGCTGCCATTTTGACGTAAATAACTTTTGATTGGATAAAATGGAGATAACACATTATAATTTTAATTTATAAACAGGATTAAGGAGATAGAACAAAATGCAATGTCAGGTATAGTATGTTATTTTTTTTTTTTTACTGATTTTTTTGTAAAAAATAAATATTTTATCTATGAAAAGTAAAAAAATGAATCTAACTCAATTTTTTTGATTTGTGGAGATAGAACAAAATAATTCTAACCTCGCAAAATAATAAAAACTTAAGTTAAAAAGTTAAGCTAGCGTCCGCAATCTTGTGGAGTCTTGAATTCTAATAGCGTTAAATTGGGATATATGACGAGACGTATTTGTTTATCAAGAATATTATGATATTATTGTTTTCGCTTGAGTCATGCGATTCAGAAAAATTAGTATTATTCTTAACCGCATGACGAGCCTAAAAACCATAACTAAAAAACAGTTTAAAATTTGTATTTTTTTAATTTATTTTTGTTTTTTCTAAAATCTAAATTAAGTTCAAAGTTCTTCAACAGCGGTTCTCGGTGACAAGATATCGTCCTGTATGGTCTTCTTTGAGTATCCGCGTTCTTTATCTTTATTCTTTATTTTTTAACGATTTCTTTGCATGTAATTTTACTTATTGATATATTTGTAAATATTGTATTAAATATTGTAATAAAAACAGCAACAACAAAAAATTCGTTATGTGTATATGGATGCACAAGTCGGCAAAAACAAAAACAAGTCATTAAATGTTCGTGCGTACAAATAATGTTTACATTATAAAAACCTTATTTGTACACAAAAAGCCTTTTTTAATTTAGCATATCAATGCTAAATTTGCGTACTTCTGTGGATGTGAAAAATGTTTTCTTTTGAGGCGCAGCCAACAGAGTTGAAGGTTCAAACTTTAATTGGGGAAACTTTCTTTTTATTTTTATTTCTAAAAAGTTTTATGTTTTTAAAATATTATTTTTGTTTTTTTATTGTAATGTTTATTATTTATTTTTATTTTTCAATGTTTCATAAAAAAATACATCAATCCGTAGATAAATTGACTGGTTTAGATGTAGTTGCAGTAGAGTGTACACCCTCATACATACACCCTCTTAGTTAAAAATATATATAGGCACAGTAGAATAGTACACACCTAGGAAAAAAGTTCTATAGAATTTCTTTACACTTTTGAAACATGGCCTGTAGAAATTCTATAAAATTTCTAATAGAAATTCTATAAAAACTCTGTCAATTTCTATAGAAATTCTTATAGAACTTTTTTCTACTTTCTTTTCTATAGCAAAAAAAGTTTTATAGCAAATTCTATAGAAATGGACATTCAATAAAATTTCTTTAGAAATTCTATTGAACTTCTATAGGCTATGTGTTTCAAAAGTTTATAGAAATTCTATAGAACTTTTTTTCGATGTATACACCGACTGACTTATATCGGGATAGTCGCAGTGGAGTGTACCTACATCGACTGAGGGTTTAAGCTTCGGCAGGCGTTCTTCAAAATAAAAAAGTAAAAATTAAAATAATAAAAGTATTTTGATAATTATTTATATAGGGTTTATAAATTAATTTAATTTACACAAAAATATTGTTAGGTTAAAACACACATCATTTTTGGATGAAATAATCACAATAATTGATAAAAATTTATGTTTAAGTATGCGCGAGTAACATAAATTTTTATCAATTATTGTGAGAAATATAAGCGAAAAAAAAAAAATTGATTTTACGCGGGTACAAATAATGTCTAACTTTATTATTCATCTACGCCTACTATTATTGATGTACGATTTATGACAGGTTTTAATAGGGGAGAGTATGCACCCATAATCATAAAAATCTATCAGGCCAATTTACTGAAAATTTTTTTACTGAGACTCAACGTTTTTATTTTTATTACTTTCAAGATCAAGTTTTCTTTTCCTTGTCATGAAGATCTTATTTTGTGTTTCATGTTTTTTCTTTTTTGACTGAGATTTTTTATCTATTTCCTGAAGCTTATTTAACTCATTTCGAACAGGAGTGTCTGTGAGTATTCGAGTACGCTGACGTTTACGTCTTTTAATGGATTTTCTTGTTCCAGCTTTTGGAAATAGCTCCATTTTTACAAAAATTCTTTTTTTGTCATATTAGATGCTTCTATAGCTTACCAAAAGCAACCATACAAGAGGTATATAGTTAAGTTACAAAATGACAATAGCAAAATTATTCAACTTAAAAAAATATTAAAGATGTGAGGTTCCTTGTAAAAGTAAAAAAATTACTTTTTGTCGTCAAAATCAAACTATTTAGAAATAAATTTAATAGTGGTTTATTCTCTAACCAAAACACAATTAATTTTGAAGATATTTATAACACTATTTATAACCCGCTGGTTATCAGCCCTCTTTAATAAGTTGTGTAAGTATCGAGATAACGCTATAGGATCAAAGGTGCTTACGGATCAAAGGTGCAAATTCTCCCTTACTATTATTGATATATGTTTTGTAACAGATTTTAATACAAGTTGAGGTGTAATTGAAATACAATGTGCTACTCAATTTTTATTTTAGCAATTGTTAAACTAAATGTTTACTTTATACTATTTTTAGATTTTCATTAAAAAATGAAAGTAGAAGCAGGTTGTGGCTATTGGCACTAAAACGAGATAAGTTTGTTCCTACAAAACATCATTATGGTTGTGATAAGCATTTTCTTACGCAAGATTTTCTAGTACGCCCTGGATGTGAAATGTAGCAATTACTACCAGTGATACTTGCTTATCAGGTGACAATAAAGACCAGAAAAAACCAGAACGTAAAAAACAGCATATTAAATCACCAACGAACAGCATCTGAAAAAGTTATGTGTTTACAACAAAAATTGTGTCGCAAATCAAGGAAGATTAATAATTTATCATTGGTTTTTAAATCTTTTAAAGACAAAAAAGAGATTTTCAATTTTGCAGCAAACATTTTAAATGAAAATTTGTTAGGACTCACAGCTAATATGTTCACAAATGAAATTGAAAATTCAAAAAGAGAGCCGACAGGCACACGGTATTCAGAAGAGGTCAAAAAGTTTGCTCTAGCTGTTCAGTTTATTCTACTCGTGTTTACAAACACTTGCAAACAGTTTTTAAATTTGCTGCACCAAGTTTATTGAACATAATCTGTGAGTTCTGACCCTGGTTTTAATAACGCTGTGATTAATGAATTGAAAGTACGGGCTGAAGATGATGTAATATATCAAGATGCAACTTTAAAAATGGATTCTTCGCATTAATGCCCAGCTAGCACACATACGTTTTTAACACATTAGAACAATGTCGCGCGTTTCGTTGGCCCAACATCGGCTGCCAACGTTGTTTTTATACCATTATGGTTACAAATCCAACAACTAAAAACCAATGTTGATAAAACGTTTATTCAAAGTCGGAAAGTGGTTATATTTTCTACGTTGGTTCAACATTTTATTTCATAGGTTGGCCCATCATTGTATTTTTAGTTTGCACAACGTTGTATTTACGTTGATTCAACGTTAAACTTTAATTGGCAAAACGTTGTATTCAATATTATTTAGAATTAAATTTTGATTTAATTCTTCTTTCTTTACATATATATATGTGTTTATATATATATATATATATATATATATATATATATATATATATATATATATATATATATATATATATATATATATATATATATATATATATATATATATATATATATATATATATATATATATATATATATATATATACATATATATATATATATATATATATATATATATATATATATATATATATATATATATATAATATATATATATATATATATATATATATATATATACGTATATACATATATTTATATATGCGTATATATACATATATATTTATATATATATATATATATATATATTATATATATATATATATAAGTTTTATATATATATATATTATATATAAATATATATATATATATATATATATATATATATATATATATATAAGTTTTTTCCGTATAGGTATATATATTATATATACATATATATATATGTATTATATAAATATATATATATGTATATATATATATATATTTATATATATATATGCATATATATATCATATATACATATATATACATATATATATATATATATATATATATATATATATATATATATATACATATGCATATATATATATATATATATATATATATATATATATATATATATATATATATATATATATATATATATATATATATGTATATATATATATATATATATATATATATATATATATAAAACTTTAGTGGGCCATACAAACATATATACATGTATATATATATATATATATATATATATATATATATATATATATATATATATATATATATATATATATATATATATATATATATATATATATATACATATATGTTTGTATGGCCCACTAAAGTTTTTTTTTTTTTTTTTTTTTCTAATTACAAAAAAATAATTATTTACAAATTTCATATACTATTTCTGCATAATAAATAAGCATATCCTCTTTACAATTATTTTGAGTTTTTTTCTCGTTTTTTTAAAGAAATATTTCTGTTTCTATATTTTTATAATACTCGTTCATAATATTACAATAGCTTTTCCACATAAGTGTTACATTAATTTTTTCAAATGTTTTTAATGATATATATGCAGGGGCGAATCTAGGGTACGTCTAGTACGTCTGTAGACGTACCTAAAAATAAAACTAAATAAAAAAAAAAGTTAATATGTTATTTCAATGTTGCGTATAAAAATAATTTATTTAGTTTAACTGTAAAGGGAATTAAATTTGTGTTTTATTACCTTATACAAACAGTTATAAGTTTATAATAACAGTTTATATTAACAGTTATAAGTTTTAGTTATAGTTAAAAAAAAATTTCGCTTCTTGTTTAGAGTAATTAAAGTTGCTTTTTGTTTAGAGCTGTAAATAAAAAAGTCTTTTTTAACTGGAGGTTAAAGTAATAATAAATGAATAATATTTAATTAGAAGAGTCAATGGACGTACACAATATTATTTTGTTAAACAATGAAAAACATTATTTAATTTTTGTTTTTTTTATTATAAAAGCTAAATATTAATTTCTTTACTTATAACAAATTTTGATCGTCCCAAAGTAGTACACCCTAAGTAAATTTTTATTCAAAATCCATCGTTTAGCGATAATCAGGAGGTGAAATATATTTTAATAGTTATTACATACCAAAATAAAACAATGGACGTACCTAACATTATTTTTTTCTGTGATTGATTTTTTTATTTAGTTTTGTTTTCAATATTCAAATTTAATCAATTTTATTTATAAAAAAACACTGTCGGACGTACCTTCTAACTTTCACCCTGAAATATTTAAAGTTTTTTGCGATATTAAAAATCTCTCGACTCTTGTAAATATACGTAGTTTTCTTAATAAATCAAGTGTTAGTAACATTTCCGTGTTTATGCTGATGTTAAAATTCTTCAAGATCAGCTTAGATATTATCAACAAAAAATGCTTCTTACATATCTAAGACACTATAATATCTGGTAAAAAAAGTGTTTCAGAGAAGTTAATAACATAACAGTTTGAAAATTTTAAACATTTCTCTGATGAAGCTTCTGACAATTAAAGTAGAGAACAACTACTTTTAATTACACTGTGTCAAAAACGTTTTCATCCAGCTATCTTGCACATTTTAAAAATGCAATAAATTTTTATTCAGCAAAGAGGTTAATATAATATTAACTAAATTATATCATTTAAACATTTAAGAAATATTGTACAAAGAAAATTTTTTAAAGTAATGAGTAACAAATAAAATGCAGCATTTCGGAATTAAAGATAGACATTTAAGTCCCAAAAAAGTTTTCATATATTTTACAAAAAGCTAAGAAAATTGTTATTCGAACTCAATTTGTTAGAGTTTTAATAACTTGTGTTTCCACCACGAGCTTTTATTACTTCGTGTAGTCTGTTTTTCATAGAGTTTAATAATTTTTTGGTAATTTCTGGAGTGATTAAGCCCCACCCTTTCATAATTACTAATTGTAGTTGTTGATTATTCCTTACATCGTGGGTGCTTATTCTGCTACCTAATTAATCCCACAGATGTTCGATAGGATTCAAATCTGAAGATTGTGGGGGTGTATGAAGTTGCTTAGCTATTTTAAATATAAGCCATTCCTTGACACGTTTAGCTGTATGTTTTTGATCGTTATCTTGCTGAAAAATAAATGACCTAATAAGTCCCAATTTGTAGACACTTTCTTCCCGATTATTTTTTAAAATGTTTAAATACACATTTTGATCCATATTTCCATCAAACACTTCCTCCACCATGCTTCACCGTTGGACACAAGATTTGTTTTTTAAATGCTTCATTTGGTTTTCTCTTTTAACTTTAACTCTTCCATCTGATGAAAACACATTAAATTTTGACTTATCGATAAAAAGAATCGTTTCCCAGAATGTCTGTGGAACATTAATATAAAGTTTTGAAAAGTGTAGTCGTTTGGCTTTGTTGACTTTGCTAATGAAGGGCTGTTTTAATGGTACTCTACTATCCAGTTCTTCTTAAGGTTATTCTAACAGTTTTAGGGTCCACTTTCAAATTGTAATCATTTTGCAGTATTCCAGCAAGTTTCGGAGCACTTATTTTAAGATTTTGGATGACTGTTCTTAAAATTACTCGTCGATGCAATACTTGAATTTTATTTGGACGTCCTGTTCGCGGCTTATCAGTAATTTTTTTGGTGGTTTGGTATTTCTTGATAATTGACTGCACAGTTGCACATGATTTCTTTACTATTTCTCCTATTTTTCGCTGTGATTTTCCCTCCTTCCACAGTCTAACAATAAGCAATCTAATTTCCTCTGCAACTCTCATTTTTTGTTAATAATTTAACACAAAAAAAAAATATAAAAAATTTATATAGAGAAAAAATAATACAAAAATCTTACTAAACCTAATTTATATTTTAAAAACGTTACTTTAATACTGATTTAGTACCAAATTGAGGTTGGAGTGCAAGGTGGATGAAAACTTTTTTGACGCTAAAACGGACATTATTTATTTTAAAATGTCGTATTTTATTTCTTATTTATTATTTTTTTAAATCTTTTTATACAATACTTCTTGAATGGTTAACTGATGTAATTTAGTTAAAATTATACTTATATCTTTGCAGAATAAAAAGTTATCACGTCTGAAAAATGTACAGAATAGGTGGATGAAAACTTTTTTGACTTTTTTGTATATGGTTTGTTGGTTCCAAGTTCAATTGAGAATTTATCAGTTTCTTAGATTAGCACAAATGGTGTTACTTGTGTAGATTATTTTATTTTTTGGTAAAAAATGTTTCGGATTCCTTTTTATACTATCATAAATTGTGATATGGTGATGCTAGAGCAATTGATGGTCACACTAAAGATTTGTCCTCTTGTATTTTAAATCTAAATGAAAAGCATATGGTCATTGCAACAGTCATAGACTTAATTTAGTTATTTGTGCCTCATACAAAGTGCAATATGTCAAGTATCTTTTTAGCACTATGTCATATTTTGCAATATGTTAAGTATTTTTTTTGGAACACTTTAATGAGGTATCATACTTTTTAAACTTGTACATACCAGGCAACAAATTTTAAAGGAGCATGTTGAAAGTACCGTTCCATATTGAACATGTTGGGGGAAAACGTTTACTTTTTTATTGGATAGTTTTGAAGAACTTTGTGCTAGTTCCTACAAAAATGATTTCAGAAGTTCAATTATATCTTTTAGTGAATTTTATGAAACAGATCTACTGAATTCTCATGCTTTAAGCTTGTGAGCTTCATTTATGTGAAGCCTTTTAGTTAAATTTAAAAAAGTAGTTTCAATATTAATAATACTGAGTTGTTAAAAGTGATAAATTTTTCTGGTTGTAACAACATTAAAAATTTACATGCTACTTTTCCACTAACTTCATGTGAATGTGAGTGGACATATTAATCATTTTGGCGCCTGAAATATATATGTTAAGCACCCTGGTATAGTGCCAAACAATAATAACACCCATTTGATGTTATCATTTTTATATATAAAATGCTAAGTTGTATTAGTTATATTGGCAAATGCTTTTGTTTTTTATATTGGCAAATGCTTTTGTTTTTTAATTGAATTTTTTTCAGTTTTTATGTATTTATCAGCAAGATTTATTAAAATGAATGTTTAATTTTTTTTTTTAACAAAATGTGGCATTAAAAATGCATCTCTAAATACCTTTTCATATAATTTAAAATTGCATATTTAATAGACAAATATTTTATTATAATTTGTGTTATTTTATAATATATTTGTTAAAATATAAATATAAAATTTTGCATTGCGTAATTTATTTTATTAATGGTAATGTGAAAATATAGTTTTTAATAATAGATCTGGAAAACAATGTGTAATTTTATAATCTAAAAGTTCCCCGGTGATAACCTTGCATATTTTTGATTGAAAAAAGGCTCTTATTAGATTAACTTAATAGACCTCTTTTAATAATAGACCTCGGTTAATCTTGATAGAATAACCGATGAGCTCTTCCATGGTGGGGTGTATGTATTTTTTTTGCTTTTCAACTAACAACTAGAGACACCAAAAAAAAAAAAGGTTCTCAATATTTCCAATATTCCAATAGTTCAAAACTTCTCAAATGCTTGTAAGAAATCTTTAAGGGGAGGGGGTGAGTGACACCCATACACCCCCGCTATCCTTCGGGACGGCCCTGGGAAGGGGTTTAAAAATTTTTCCAAAAAATCAGATGTACCCAAATAGTTTCCTGGGTCCGCCCCTGTATATGCGCAAATTTTTACATTAAATTTTTGACTTTATATATATACATATTTTTGTTTTTAAAATTTTTATTTTTTAGTGTTTTTTGATTTTATATATTTTTTTGTTTTTTTTTTGTTTTTTATTTTTGTGCCGTTGTGCGGAAAGAAATCGAGATAAGAAAAAAGTTTCAGAAGAAGTTGAATAAGATTAATTGATTATTTTATCAGAAGAAAGAACTGATTAAGTAAAATAAAAATAAGGTACAGGGCTTAAACACAAATACCACATTACGAAAGCTACAGAGAAACATCTAAATTGTATTATATATCATAAACTAAAGGCTGGCAGTGATTTTTTAATCATATATAATAATAAATTTTGTTGTATAAAGGAATGGCATCGGCAGAGAAGTGGAAAACTTAACTAAACATGCAGATCTTGCTATGAGGTGATGTTTTTTTTTGCTCTTATGTTTATTTTCAGATTTCCATTCTCTACTTGACAAAAAATATTTTTAATACAAAAATATTGACAGAAAGTGTCCGCAGTGTTTCTACGAACATGATAATTATATTTTAAAGTAATAATATTTCTGATATTCCTGATTATTACCCTGATCACTGCCATTGGCTCAATTTTTTTGTTTCTAAACATATGGTGACATCTACTGTTCCATATTGCACTCATTATGGTTTGAGTGAGTGTCAACAGCAGCTGTGAAGTAGGGTTTTTCCGATAAATTTGCTGTTTTAATAGAGAAAATTGAATTTATCGGAAAAATTTTTTTTTGGGATGTGAAGGAGTTATATACATGTTTAAAATATTCCCATATTTCAACAGAAGGAGGACAGTAGGCAAAGATATAAATGTTGTCCTCAGTTTTGCCACAAGTTTTGAATTTGTTATTTTTAACGATTTGTTGCCTTGTGCTTTTTGGCTAACAAGGCTGCAGAAGGTAAACTGTTGTGTAGAAATCGAAAGAGGATATTTTGCGTCGGTCTGCATGCGTGGGAGGTAAAGTTTTTTTTTCAAATTTGGGCCCACGGCTTTGTTGTTTTTGTTAAACCGTTCCAGAAAAGTTCTGCTGGCACGACTGTCTTTTTGTTTTTTGCCACTTCTAAATAAAATTTTTTTGTTGATTTTAGGGGAATGTTAAAACTCGAGACCCGTTTTTGTCTATTATTTCAATTGTTGTTTTGTAGTTCTGAGACATTTTGTTGTTCCAATGTTTTGGAAAATTGTTCTATTTCAAAAAATTCCAACTTTGGTTTTGGTTTGTAAACTTTATAAGTGAACTTGCTAACCAGTACTTTGAAAAGTAGTAGTAATCGTGAGTTTTATCTTCTCCGTATTCTTTCAGTTGAAAGAGTGCTTTGAGGCGAAGTGCTAGGCTTTGCTCTTTCGGCGATAAAATTCCGAGACCCCCGTTTTTGGCGGGTAAGAAAAGTGTCTCTCTTTTGACCGGATTGAAATTGGTCTTTTGCCATAGATTTTTGGATATAGCACTGTGCAAACGTTCTATTACCCATTCAGGAACGGGCCGCACGTTTGCCAGAAACCACACTTTCGGCATTGCTAATGTATTTATGAACATAGTCTTTCCCCTTAGTGACAAAGTACGGAGTCCCAGAAACTTGAGTTTTTTTTCTATTTTGTTTAGAGTTACTAGCCAGTTGAAATTGATAGTATTACTCAGTCTGGTGTAAAAAGTAACCCCCAAAATTTTTAAACCGGTGTTATTGGTCCACTCTATGTTGTTCAATTCTGGATACATTTTACGATCAAAACCCCCAAGAGCAAGACCCTTGGTTTTTGAGGCATTGATCACTGAACCACTTGGTTTTTTAATAGTTTTACTGTCTCGAAAAAAAAGTGGATTGATTTTACGTCCCTGTCGAAAAAGTTCGAATCGTCTGCGTATTGCTGTAATTTTAGGGGTTTTGGTGTTCCTGGTAATGGGAACCCCTCAATTCTGCTGTCTGCTCTGATCACCAAAGCGAGAGCTTCGGCGACAAAAATACACAACAAAAGAGAGAGGGGGTCTCCTTGTTTAACTCCCCTTTCGGTAGGGAAAGAGGCTGACAGGAAACCGCAGTTCAGAACAGATGCCAAAACTTCTGAATATAGAGTGTTAACAAAAGATATAAAATTTTCTGCGAGATTGAATTTCTGGAGAATCTGCAGCAAAAACGTACGATCGACTTTTTCAAACGCCTTTTCTTGAACTATTGACAAAATGAAACTAGGTAGATTTTTAAACTCCGCGTAATCTATTAGATCACGGGTTAAATGAAATTTGAAAAAATTGTTCTACCTGGAATTCCGCAACTTTGATTTGGTTCTATAATTTTCTCCATTACTTTTGCAAGTCTTAGGGCCAGCGTTTTTGCAATTATTTTGTAATCAGCGCCGATTAAGGATATGGGCCTCCAATTTTTATATTCCGTAAGATCTCCTTGTTTTGGAATCAGTGAGATTATTGAATTATTCATAGATTGGCTGGTATTTTCTTCTACGAAAAGTATTTTGTATACAAGTTCTTCAAAATCTTTTTCTAAAATGTGCCAAAATGTTTTGTAAAATTCAGCTGGAAGTCCATCATAGCCCGGAGATTTTCCGCTTTCAAAATTAAAAAGGGCTTCTTTAGCTCTGCGCTGGTTAAGCGGGTATTTAAAGTATGGTTTTCATCATCACGACAAACGTTTGATGATATGTGACAAGATATAGTTTTGGCTGTCCTTGCATAAATTCGTTTTAGTGTAAAAATTTTTATAATATGAAACAAGGGTGTTAAGTAGTTCACCAGGTTCACTCGTCAATGTGACTTCATTCTTGCGAATTTCAATATCGACTTGTTCCGCTGTTTAACTTTTTCCAAATTATACAAAAATTTTGAAGATTTTTCTCCTTCTTCAATAAGTTTTTTCTTCGTGCGAATAAACGCTCCTGGAAACTGGAGCAAGAAAAGAGCATCGCGTTTTTCTTTGATGCTATCTAAATTTGGGTTAGCGTTTTGTCGCTCCCGTTGGATTTCGTTTTCAATCCTTTTTATTTGTTTTTTGTTTTTTGCACTTTCTTGTATCG